AAATTTTGCAGAGCATGAACCCCGAAATGCCTCATAATCAACAGATAATTACAGAAAGGGAAGTATATCATGGTAAATGTATCAAACCAAGCAGTAGGCTATATCATTTACAGAAAAGAAGTACATGCACGTAGTTCAAAAGCGCTTTTGTATCATAAAACTACTGATTCTCTCGAAATTTTCCAAAGAACAACAACCATAGCCAAATCAGAGCCATTCAAACCTCACATTCACCACAGTCGCTTCACCATTTGAAGAAGAATCATTCACAGATACTTAAAAAGGAAAATCTTACATTCACTCCGCGGCAAACTTTGTGCCTCAGATCCGAGCAGTTCCCAACAAAAAAAGGCGAGCAAAACCAGCAGAATCCCATTCATTATCCTCAAAGCCATTTGATACTCCTCAAACCAAACCTACCAGAACCAATCCTCCTCCTTCTGAAACCACGCATAAAAATACGTTCAATTATTAAAAAACAAGAGAAAACACAAGCACTTCCTCCATTTGAGCAATCAGACTAAAAAAAATGTTTTCTACGGATAATGCTCTTGCTACTTCACCTCTGAGAAGTGCAAACCCGGAACTAGAAACGCTAAAATTCCCTTCCTCCTCCTCAAACCTCTGGCGAAAATTGCATAAAACTCTTCAATGGACACCTAGATATAGAAGCATCGCTTCCAATCTACCAGCCGACTCGATCTAACTGTTTTCCACGAACGGTCTAAATGTTTTTTTCGTAAATTCATTGTTTTTATTTTGTAAAATTTGTTTATTTATTTATATGCATGATCTTCGTGTTAGAGATTACGTGCCCTTAAAAATTGAGTATGAAAATTCATCTCAAAAATAGATTTTTAAGACTTGACTCAGTTGGATATTATGGAGACAAACAAACCGTGTCCTCTTTTTAAAGCACCAAAAAATATAAAAATTGTGTTGTTTGACTTTTCAACTGTCCCCCAATTCAAAAATTCGTTTGGGCCAAAATATCCCCATTTGGCCCATGTTTACAACACTATGTTTTTATTTTATTTTTATTCATTTCTCGACCAAAAACTATGTTTTTATTTTATTTTTATTCATTTCTCGACCAAAAACTGAGTCCATATTGATCCTGATAAAAAATATGACTGAAAAATGAGTCCATTCAGGCATAAAAAAAATATTTAGGAAAGATAAAAGTCTGACGCATTGATTTCATAGTATTAGACCGGCACTATGAAAATGTGGGTAATTCATGGTATTAGACCGGCACTATGAAAATGTGGGTATAAGACAAAGAGGGGTCTTTTGTTCATTTACCTGTGACTAGAGCGAAAGTGTTAAAGAAAATGGTATTGGATTTTTTTCATGTTTTAAACAGTTGTTTGTAGGGAGGATGTTGAGAAAGTTGAGTCATTAACATAGTAGCAATTGGAGATCTCCGCATAAACCTTAGCCGAGAGAGAGAAAGAGAATAAATTTTCACCCAAAATAGAAAATATAGGTGCAAATTAATTGTGGTTATTTGAATTGTGAAGATGAAACAAGATTGCTGCTTTTCAACACGGAACTTTAATGGCGATGTGACATACGAAAAGTATCCGCTTTATTTTGGGGAGAACACCAAAAAAGGTGTTGAAATCCTCAATATCAATTTGGTACCGGTGTTCGAAAATTCGACTCGAGCCGACTAATCAGCCCACGCCCTAGCCGAGTACTGACCCAAGTCAGACTCGGTAGCAAAAAATTATTAGAAAAATGTAAAAAATCAAAAAATCAGAAAAAATATAATAAAAGTAAAATTTTATAAAACACAATCAATTGTGATTAGAAAAGTAACGAAAAATAAATGTTAAAAAATGAGTTTGCGACAGGGTGAATTTTTTTAAATTTTCAAAAATATAAAAATAAGTATTCATGGCCAAAATACTTTCCAATCTTTGTCAAAATGATAGAAAACATAAATAAACATGTTATAAATACATTCTAAATTTTTTGAGATTTTTTTAAAAAGAATTAAGATCATCGAGTTGGACCTTCAACTCTAGACAACTCGGGGGCTCAGCAAGGACCCGATCTCGAGTAACTCGGTTGAGTAGAAACTACTCGGTCAACTTTTCGAATGCTGTTAAGTACGTCCTTTAAAAATATTAAAAATATTCAAAATTGCTCATGTTTAATATTGGGAAGCCAAAATATTTAAAGATACTTTGATAATTTTCTTCTAAAAAGAGGTACTTTTGTCATTGCGTTAGAGTTTCTTTTATTTTTGACAAACATTTCAAATTTTATTAGATCGTACTAAACAAAAGAGATTACATAGTTAGAGACCACAAAAAAAGGTAAAGATACCCCACCTTTAGTGAGGGAATCCGCAAGAGCATTTGCTTCCCGAAAAACATGAGAAAAATAAACAGACAAGGGGTAGAGAGGTCTAAAATTTCCAATCATATTGACCGCAATTACCACGGTATACATAACTCCCTGTTGCACTAACCAATAATATTTAAATAATCCCCTTCAAAGATACAACTATTGCCAATGTTGCTAGAGATAAACGGCTTTATCCCTTGTAACAAGGAGGCAAGTTCCGCATCGTTAGCTTTAGTAGAGCCTAATGGACCCGCAAAGGAGAAAATGACCACCCCCTGCCCATTGCCTAAAATGCCACTAATTGTTTGGGCTTCCCAACACTAAACAAAAAAAATTTAGGAAATTTTTAACATTTTTTGAAAAATGTAATTGATTAATATTCAAAATTAAAAGCAAACCTTCCAATTTAATTTGTAATTTTTGACCCTCTATTATAAGGGCTATACACCAACCACAAATAACTTATAAACCAAGCATTCTCATTGGCTCAGGTGCTTCATGGTAAAAATTTAGGTCCCTTTTATGCCTTATTGGCTTCGTTTCCAAATAATAAAGCTAAATATAACTTGTGCACACTGGTTTTTGGTTTTGTATGTGGTTTTTTGTTTTCTTTGTGCATCTTATGTGTATTCTTTGTACCCCCATGGATGACATGTCTATTATACCTGTTACTATGAGACCATTTATCTTTTACAATATAATGTCAAAATTATTCCTAAGCATTAAATGTCAAATTGGATGGTTTGAGACGGTCACAAAGTTCAAAAAATAAAAATAAAATAAAAACTTTGAGACTAGTCAATGACACTCTTGTAACCACTTGATTTGAATTCTAACAAATAAGAGTGACCGTGAAGTCCTTATACCAAAAGCTAATGCTCTCTTTGTATATTTTTCCTTTTGGTATAGATATGCATGTACCTTAACTCATGCACATTATCCCTATATGAGATTTTCTACGAAGATACCATATATTTTTTGTATACGAAGGTCACAATCATTCATACTCATTAGATAGAAATCCGAGATTATTTTTTTTTTTTGAAACTTTTTGTCTTTTCAGTGACTTTCTGGCAACCGCCCATTTTGATGTTTAAGGGACAAGAACGATAGTGATTTCTATATACAAATTATACACTATCTTTTTACAAACAATCCCTCGGTATATTTGCAGTTATGCTCATGTTTCTTCATTTTATTATCTTTGGTAGTCTATGTTTCCCATTAAAGGGTGCAATCATATCAACACTGACGCATCAAATTTAATATGGACTCTAATGCTGTAAATTTCATTATGGTAAGGTGCAGTCATACAACACTAATGCACTGTATCTCATTAGAAGTACTAAGATGGGTAACTCTTCGCAAACGCAGTGAAAAAAGAAGAAGGAATTTATAGATATCCCTTAGATTGTACTTTTTAGGCATGCTTTCAATATGTTTTATACTACAATATTAACTTCAACATTACTTATTTTTGTTTGAAGTGAAAACTTAATTCTTGTGTACGAAAATACATATATTTTAATAGTCCCACTCTCTGCCCAAGCCAGTCCCACTTAAAATGTGTCAAATCCGTACAACTTAAATATAAATAGTGTCAAACAAGCAATAAGCTGTCCAACACAATTTTAATATTAAAAGCTGGTAATGTATCGGATTGGCACATTTTGTCATAATTTTTTGAAATATTGGCACATTTTGAAGATGCCCGTTCCAATTTGGGAGGAAAACATGCTTAAAAAAAAGGGAATTTTAGTTCAAAAATCAATTTTCTTTATTTGGAGTATGGATGCAAGAATAAACACCATTAGAGTTAATAGTGTGGTATAAAAAATATTTTTGTTGGGGTTTTCCAAGGTTTTTTTTTTTAAAAAGGAGGGACAGCATCCCTAGAAAGTACAATCCTAGAGGTATCTATTATTTTTCCAAAAACAAAGCATGCCATCCCACTAAAATCATCAAGTCGCCTTCCTTTACAAATTGTCCTTATTCTTTTCTTCCTACAAACTTTGGGGTCATTTTCTGGCATTTGAGGGGCCTTTTGGATCTCTGGATTTTTCAATTTTGGGAAAAGTCGATCTTGTATTTGATATTTTTTGGAATGATATATATGCTGTTTGGATCGCATCCGGTAGAAATCAAGGAAATGCAAATTCCCTGTTTGGATTGCGTGGAATATATTTTTATTAGAAATGCAAATCCTTTCTTTTTCTCTTAAAATTTTGAAATAGTTTCTCTTTCTAAAATATTAATACACTCTCTTTCAAAAACTTAAAATTTGAAACAGTTTCTCTCTCTAAAATTTTTGAGATAGTTTATCTCTTTAAAAAATTTATATGCTTTCTCTCTCTAAAATATGATATAGTTTCTCTCTCTAAAATTTTAAAGTACTTTCTCTATCTAAATCTTAAAATTTGAGATAGTTTTTTTCTAAAAAATTTCAGATAGTTTCTCTCTCTATAAAAGTTTAGTTACTTTCTCACTCTAAAATTTGATATAGTTACTCTCTCTAAAATTTTAAGATGATTTCTCTCTCTAAAATTTAAATATTGAGATAGTTTCTCTATTTAAAATTTTAATATATTTTCTCTATCGAAAATTTTATATAATTTTTTTCTCCAAAGTTTTAATATATTTTCTCTCACTAAAACTTAAAATTGGAGATTATCTTTTCTCTCTAAAATTTTAATGTAGTTTTTCTCTATAAAATTTTGATATACTTTCTCTCTCTAAAACTTAAAATTTGATATAGTTTCTCTCTCTAAATATTTCATGTACATTCTCTATCTAAAATTTAAGATTTGAGATAGTTTCTCTCTGTAAAAATTTTCTGGTAGTTTCTCTATCTAAAATATAGTTTCTAATATTTAAAATTTTAATATGCTCGCTCTCTCAAACTTAAAATTTGAGATAACGTCTCTCTCTAAATATTTTGAGATATTTTTCTCTAAAAAATTTCAAGTAGTTCCCCTCTCTAAAATTTAATGTAGATTATCTCTCTAAAATTTTAAGATACTTTTTCTTTCTAAAATTTAATTTGAGATAGTTTCTCTTTCTAAAATTTTAATATAGTCTCTCTAAAACTTTAAATTTGAGATATTATCTCTCTCTAAAAATTTGAGTCAATTTTTCTCTCTAAAAAAATTGTATATTTTCTCTCTCAAAAAAAAAATGTGTATACTTTATCTCTCTAAAATTTGATATAGTTTCTCTCTCTAAAATTTTAATATGTTTTTTCTCTTGAAAATTTGATGTAGTTTCTCTCTCTAAAATTTTAATATTTTTTTTGTTCTTGAGCAAAATGGATCATTTCCATGAAATCTCAATTCCACCTATTTTAGTGGAATTGATATTTCAAAAATTTAAGCTTAACATGAGCATTAGAAATCCCACCAAAAATCTTAATTCCAACCAAAATGTCAATTCTAAAGGCACCAAACATGATAGAACCAGCTTTTCCAAGAAAACTTACTCCTGAAAATCTAAATCCAATGAACCAA